ACAAGATCTCACATTTCCTTGGGATCAATTGCTAAAGGTAGAATAATAGTTTCAAAGGGTATCACGGTATCAGTCTTTTGACACAGATTGTGCCAGACACTTTGAACCAGTTCGTGTTCTCCCTAGCACTGGTCCTTTCCCCACTGACTGCCAAAACCCAAATACTAGTATTTAAAACCATTTCCTGTTGGATGGGCAAAAATGGCAGTGAATTGCTTTAATTGTATTTCTTTGATAGGTTTGAAGCCAATAATTTCTTTTTATGTAGAAAAACATTCTGATAGAATTATTTTTTGAGAACAACTTCACACATACACACACAAAAACAACTCAAAAAGAGAAATTGGAATGGAACGGATGCTGAGAGTGATGTAATTTAAGCAAATTGCCCACTTAGCAACAATAACAAACCAGCTTCAAAAATTATTGCTCAAAAGTATTGCTTACTAAAAATCAAGGGCAAAATATGAATTATTTAAAAATTGCTTCAGATAATTCCTCTTTGAGAAAAAAAATCAACACTAGACAGAATTCAGTCCAAGAGCCCATAGGATATTGGTGTTGCACTTAGCCTATCACATAGACACCAGCTTGTGAATGTCTGGGGAGAGATACACAGTTAAAAATGTGAGCCAAGCCAGGCATGGTTGTACAGTCCTTTAATCCCAGCACTTGAGAGGCAGAAGCAAGTAGCTCTCTGTGTGATTGAGGCCAGCCTGGTCTACATAGGGAGTTTCAGTCCAGCTGGGGCAAAGGGAGACCCTGTCTCAAAAACAAAACAAAAACTCAGTGAGCCAGAAAACTGGGCTTGGCAACACATACCTTTAATCCCAGTGCTGGAGAGGTAGAGACAGCAGGATTCCTGGGACTTGCTAGCCAGCCAGTCTAGCCAATGGGTGAGCTCCAGGTTCAGTAGGAGACCCTGCCTCAGAAGAAAAGGTCTAGAAATAATTAAGGAAGATACACAATGCTGACCTCTAACCTCTTTGTATATGCTCATGAGCACATATGCACACATGCAGAAATGTGAGGTGGCACATATCTGTAATCTCAGCACTCAGGAGGTTGAGGCAGGAGTATTCTGAGTTGGAAGCCAGCCTTAGCTACATAGCAAGACTCTGTGAGAGAAGGGGGGAGGAGAGAGAGAGAGAGAGAGAGAGAGAGAGAGAGAGAGAGAGAGCTCATGAAGCTTAATAATTTTAAAAGATATTTGTTTATGTTAACTAGAAAGTTGTCCTTAGCTTTTTTGTTTCAAGTAGAAATAGTTTAAAGTCACTAAGGAAACTCACGGATCATCTTACTGACAGTTTCATTTGTAAATTTGGAATTCTGCATTTGAAATTTTCTCTAAAGATCCATGTCTGTGGTCTTCCCAGGCTTTCCTCTCATCTTGGAAACATCATTGAAGACCCTCTGCACTGGGAAAATGTCACCACACTCTGGCCTTAAGCATTGTGGTTTAACCTAGACGTCTTAATACTCTGCTCCTTCATCCTACAACACAGAACACCAGTACTTTCTTTTTTTAGCTGATCCAGCCCAAGGATAATTTCAAGCAAATTTAATTCGGTGTGTTTTTGTTTATGTCTACAGTCACATCTTGGATATTTTCCAATCCCTCTTTGATGTCTAGGGTCCTTAAGCCATCTTTTGAGTATGGTGTTTGGTTAAAATAAATAAAAAGTGAAACCATGTGTTAGGGGAGGAGGTGCTGTGTTCTCCAAAGCTGTGCCAAGGTTGAAAGAGGGTCTCCTTTGATCAGAAACAATTAGATCAGGCTCACTGGCTAGAACCTTTGCAAAAGAGGCTGCCCAACACAGCAGCATCATTTAACATTTGCTTTCCTTAGATTCAATTTCCTTTTCTTTCCTTCTCCCTCCCACTCCTTACCCATAACTCCATGCACTCTGGTTATGCTGATGTATACTCTGGGTTCCCCAAATATGCCATGTAACATCATCCATCTGTGCATCTGCTCATGCTGCTCTCTGTGTGAAGGAGGCTGCTAGCCTATGGACTGGATCCGTGCCACAAACTGGCTTTATTTGGATTTCACTGTATTTTTCTTTTAAAATTGAGCCAACATTTAAAAAATGTTCAACCCTCATTTGGAAAATGGAGACTGTGGTAATATTGTTTCAATATTGTTGAGGATAGCATCAACCACAACAAACAATAGCTGAATCTTTTAGCAGGGGCATGTGCTTAACTTTGTCTTTGTTGAAAGAACAAACAGCCCCACTCATTCCCTGACATCACCTGTATGTTTTATTTGCTCTGTTTTTGAGATTTCTGGTAGGAATTACAAATGATAAAAGGAGAGAAAATGCAGGCTTTGTACTTGGGAAAATTAGCTAATGAGGGGGATAGAGCATAAATACTTGACAAATCAAGTATTGCTGCAACCAGAAGACAACATGGTTCTTAACCATAAGAACAAGGCAGGAGTCATGGCTCAACACGGATAATCCTAGTACTTGGGAAGCTGAGGCAGGAGAATCACCACAAGTTTGAGGCCAACTTGGACTACATTGTTAGCTCTAGCCCTTCTACAGAGTAAGACACTACCTCAAAAAAAAAAAAAATTAAGGGCCAGTGAGATGACTCAGTAGGTAATAGCAATTGTTACTGAGCCTGATAATCTGAGTTTGATCCCCAGGTCCCACATGGCAGAAGGAGAGAACTGACTCCTGAAAGTTGTCCTCTGACCGCTATATGCAAACACACACACACACACACACACACACACACACACACACAATGTAATTTGAGCAATTTTAAATTAAAAACCCGATAAGAGCTATGGGGTTGTACTGCTAGAAATTTACAAAATGACCATGAACAAAGACAAATATGAGTTTAGAGACAAGGGAAATTACAATAAATAATATATTAGATATGTACAGTGTACCAAGCACTTTTATATATATATATATAAACTTTTTTCTCAATGTATTTTTTTGCACTTGTGTGCATTTCATGTATCTTAATCACATTTAGACCCCCTCCCTGATCCCCACTTCTCCATTGCCCCCTGACCAGATTTCATGCATTCTGTCATACATGTTAAGACCTGTTGAGTCAAGTTTGTATACCCAGCTGTCCCACTCAGTGTGAGTTCATCTGCTGGAGCATGTTCAGCTTGTCCAGCATCATTCCCTTAAGTCCATTGCCCCCTGACCAGATTTCATGCATTCTGTCATACATGTTAAGACCTATTGAGTCAAGTTTGTATACCCAGCTGTCCCACTCAGTGTGAGTTCATCCTGGAGCATGTTCAGCTTGTCCAGCATCATTCCCTTAAGATCAACTTTCCCTCACCCAGCAGTGATCAACTGCCAATAGTTCCTCAGCTAAGGTCTCCTGCTCATTTCCCCAGTTCTGTGCTGGGTTTTTGTCTGATTGAGTTTTCAGGGGTCTTGTGCATGCTGTCCCCATTGCTATATGAGCAAGTTCCCAAAGCCTGGAAGACTCTGTTTCCTTATGTTCATGCATTAACCCTGTAAACTTTTTAATTCCCACAAAAACTCTATGAGTAGGCAATACTATTATTCTTAACGTATAGTTATGCTAGAGCACTTGTCACTGATTAAGTGGATAGGCTGGGTTCACATAAGACTTTATTATGTCATAAATAGTTAGAATCAATGATAGGACTGGTCTATGGGGTGCTGTCTGTTGTGCTGGGAGTAGATCTCCATTGTAGACTATCTGGCAGGTGCACGTGAGGCCCTGGGTTCTACCCTCATTACTGCAGAAACAGCAAAAAATGGAAGTATGCTGTCTGTTATCATTGTTCAAACTAATTAAGCTCTCCAAGAATCTTACTTTACTTCTGGAATAATGATTGCTTCATAACTGATGCAGTCAGGGGTTCCCAGGGAGGAGAGACAAGTTTGAGTCATCAAACTATAGGCTACTGGTTGTGCTACATTGACTAGGATAGCTCTTCTCAAACTCACAGGGAGCCCATGAATCACCCGAGGATCTTGTTAAACTCTGGATTCTGATTCAGTAAGTCTGAATTGGGCTCCAAATTCTACATGCCTGGGTTCCAAACTTGGAGTGTCAAAAACCTATTCAAAGCAGAAGCAATATGGTACATTATTATGTCAGTCATAAGAGTATGCATCTTTTTCTGTTTCAATTCTCTCACCAGCAGTGTTGAGAACTTTTTCAGTTCTGTCTTTCTGTAGGGTCTTTAGTAGTGTCTCAAGGCATCACAGGAACTAGGAGTTCTCTTCTTTCTTACTGATTTTTTTTTTCAGTTTATTTTTCCATACATGATTCTCAGGAGGGTAGCAGTGTTGGGCTAGAATCAGCTCTCCCCAAGTCCTCAGAAGTTATTGCTAATTTTTCAGGAAGTTTGAGATTCAATTAAACACAGAAATTATTAAAATTATATAAACCTATAATTTGATAAATGTTATTAAAAAGTAGCACTCAAAAGCCATGTGTGGTGGGTCATGCATTTAACCTCAGCACTCAGGAGGCAGACTAGGGTGGATCTTTGTCAGTTCAAGGCCAACCAAGGATTCATGTTGAGACCCTGTCTCAAAAAAAAATTAGTGCTCAAATTCATCACTTCATAGT